TAGATTTTTGTATGAATAAGAACAGGCACCCAGGTTTCACTAATTTAGGTACAAACAGCCAGACTGTGCAGTCACATCTCCTCTTTCTTCTGCTGCTTCCAATCTTACAGATTTCAGCTTACTGAAGAGGAAACTGAACCTAGGTTTCCTACTTTCTGATGAGAGCTCTGCCCACTTGATTTTAAGGCAGAGCGGGGCATCACCATCACTGAGGTGAGCCCTCTTCACCACCAGCTCCCAGGAGGGGACTTCACTTTGGGCAGCTTGGATAAACTAAGCTGAAGTTTCAGTCAGACATGAGAGTTTAGCATTCTCTAGCACTGGCTCATTTGGGGAGCCTTCTGGATTGTTCTTTGGAGGCACCCAGTTCTCCACTGATGGGATAGGGAACCTAGGCACCAAACTCCTGCACTTCAGCTTGTCCTGCGATGTCTAAATCACTGCTCTATACCTTGACTTTGTTGGTCACCTAGGGAATCCCAGGAAGCAAGCCCAATTTCCTGAGCCCAGCTCCAGTTCATTTTTTCTGCAACAGAGCTCCTGAGAACAGTACTCAGTTGAATGACTGCTCTGAGTAACAAATATGCACACAGCCTGTGAAGATTTGTTTAGATTTGGCCTTATTATACTATGTACCTGGCAGTCAATGTTTTTTTCTTTGATTCTTGAGTTAAGGAGGTAAGCTCACATACTTAATCTCTTTTATTTCTTTAGCTGGCAGATAAAGGACCTGGCAAGGCCTTTAGGACATCCTTATTCTTAGGCACTTGATGAGCTGCTGTTGTAGATACTTAGTGGCCTGCTTTGCAGAGTCATTCGCCACCAGTTTCTGAGCTGGAATGAATGAGAGCAGCAGAGTAACCCAGGCAGAGAGTCAACAGAGAGTTACTTGGTACCTCAACAGGGAAAACCGCTTCTCAGTCTCTTTCTTCACTTCACAGCTTCATGCATAAGAAGAGAAAACAGGAAAGACAAGCAAGTGGCTGTGTTGGCTACAGCAGGTAACAAGCAGAACGTCAGGAGACTCTGTGTGGGGTTGTCAGTGGGAGTGGGAGGTATTGTGCTGGGCATGGAAGTGTCAGCAGATGGGCCCTTCTGCAGAGTCTGTGAGCCCCGACCCACCACTGCTGCAAAGGCTCCTCACCCAGCACAAGGCTTACTTCGGTCCCTGGCCAATTTAACGTCTCTCCTTCCAGAAATCTAAATTGTTGGGGTTTTCCTGTTGTGGTTTTTTTTTTTTTTTTTTTTTCTTTTTTCTTTCTCTCCTTCCCAGTTCTTCATTCCCTTTTGTTTTCCCTCTCTTCTCTTTTATGCTGTGGACAAGCCCCGCTTCCAGCCGTGGTGTGCAGCTTGGTTTCCAACTGGTTAAAAATATACTGATGTAATTGGAAAATCGTATTTCTCCCCAAATTTGATTTTGTTCTCATCTCATCTTTCTGTGTTTCTTTTTCTGTCCTGCTATGTTTTTTCTCTCTCTGTCATGCACACACAGTCCTTCTTCCTTGCACACACACAGACACCATACTGCTCTGCTTCTGCATGACTTTTTGGGAGAGACACAAATAAACATCTTCAGAAATTCTGACTTGGGAAAAGCAAATAAGCAGTCCCAACAGAAAGAAAATATCTTAAAATAAAAAGCGTGATTCAACTACAGTTAATTTATTCTGTTGTAGCAGTATAGCCATTAAGGTAGCTGAAAAAAAAAAAAAAAAAATCTGTATTTTCATCCCATTTCCATCTATCACTGGGGAAGGGGGAATATTTCCTAGGCACTTTCTTCTTCGTTTGTGATCTACAAAGAGAGATGTGTTGCTCTTTTGGCAGTAAATACCCATTGTGCAGCACGAGAGGGCACCAGAACGCCAGGACTGGCTCTACTCCCTGGCAGTCTGCTCAAGGGCAAGCTCAAGGGAATAGGTGACATAAAGTCCAACTTAAATTTTGGCCTACCACTGCTCTGCCCGCTTTATCTTGCTGTCTCCCAGACTCCTCTCTGTACTGCTGGAATCTTTATTTTCTTGCTACAGGTTTTTCAGTGCACTCCGATACCTAACCTACTTTTGTTTTTCCATTTTTGGAAGATTTTTGCTGTATACAAGCAGGGGATTAACGGCTATTTCTTTGAGCCTGTAAGCAGCCAGTGGCTCAGAGACCCCTTCTTTTTCAGAGCTGCCTGCCAAGTCCGTGGATCTGGCTGCTATTAACCTGACAGAGCTGGTGAACGGTATGCTGACCACAGCGCTCAGAGGTAACGTGACAAGGCCGGGCAGTTCACACAGGCTGTCAGCCCGGTGGTCAGTGAGATAAAAGGCTAACAGTGTTAGCACAAGAAGCCATAAATGCATTCTGTCTGCCTCCAGAATTAATGATAGGAGCACATTACCCTTGCATATTTATAATGCAGATAGTTGTCTACCCCAAAGAATTTAGAAAGAAGTATCTGTATATAATATAGACACAAAATAATTACTTATGGGATGCCTTTAGAAAGCACTTTATAATCCAATTTTTGAATTTAAAAAAAAAAAAAAAAAAAAAAAAAAAAAAAGAAGTAATATAAATTATCCTGCTCCCAGTGGAAATGAGAAGGAATTGAGTCTCAAGCAGATGTATAGTATCAGCACCTCAGGAGTCTTTTAGAAATTAAATGAGTTGAGTCAAAACATGCTGTTCTCATAATTTGTTGCTACCACTAATAGCATCATGGGCATGTGTTTCTGCAGGTACCAAAAAACTCTTCTCTTTGCTGAGCATCACATCTTACAGCTCATTTGCCTTCCACAAAGTGTCAGTCACCATTTATAACAGTGAGTGCCTCGGCGCTTCGCTCCGTGCAGGAACGTTTTCTCTCATACAGCATGTGCCTCAAGATACTGATTTTTCTCTGTCTCTCCCTACAGTTTCTAATGTGAAAAATGTTGACACTGGCAAGTTCCCTATGCATTACTGCTACTGTTTGAACAATGTAACAAATGACTTGACAGGTAGGTACACAAGAGATGTTGGCAATTGCATATGCTTAAGATGAATTATTGCCTTTGGAGCTGAAAGCTGTAGCCTGAATTCTGCAGACTTCCTCCTTATGAGTAGCATTGCCATATTGAGGTCAACAGCTGTAACTCGTGACGAGCGGCTGCTCTGAACCTTGGGGAACCCTCGATGAACTCAGTCTCAGACGGCTGCACCTGGCCAGCCAGTCTGGGATGGAGCCATCATTCAAGTGGCCAGTGTGGTTTACCAGGAAGAAAGAGCTCCCTTTCCTCCTCAGAACACAAAGGGCTGTGCAGGAGAGACAACCCGGCAATGTATGATACATTTACCTTAGCCACTTTTCCTCTCCTGACATGACACATAGGAGATGAACTTCTGCACCAGTAGACTCCAATAACTTTAATGAGCCCAACAGGAGTGAAAAGTGAGGATTAGCATCTTCATAATGCTGTTTAATGGAGTGTAAATGCTATTGGGCAAATCCTTCACCTATAAACCTCATTCACACCCATGATCTCATAGTATCTAGCATTCCAGGATGGATCTGTGCTTGGATTCTATGGCTGGGTAAAGTAAGATATCAAGAGTTACATCAGTGGCTAAGGACCAGAACCCATACCCTCTAAGCTGCATGTGAGGACCACACACAAGCCACAGCAGCTTTCATGGCTTTTTCCACACATCTCACAAGCCTGATTGCAAAATGATCCTGTTTTCCTTGGAGGATAATGGAGAAACTTTAATCTTTCTGCCCCAAATCCAGAATATCTTGGTGATTAGAGCATCCTCCCAAGTAGTAGAAATTCAGGGCTCAACAAAGGGATCATGCTTGTCACTCCCGAAGTGAGAACATTGACCTGTTACTGCTGGAACCTGTTATGAAAAATTCATAATGCCTCACCACCAATAGCCATTTTTTTTGAGCTGACAACATCATCAGTATGTCTGAAATAGACCTCAGATGCCTCCTGGAAGGTCCTACATGGCAGATAGGCAGTTAGCGCAGGCAAAGCCTGGAGGTTTGGGATTTGCCTCTACATTTAAGCAGACTAAGTAGAATGTTATTTAAATTGTTCTCTTGAATGGATAAATCCCATTTAAATTTACTTTTAAGCACGTTGGTGCTATTTTGGATATCATCTTTGAAATATACTTCTGCAGAGTATTCCAATGGCTTCTTAAGTCCACTCCCATCCAGCAGAAACATTTTGAACTTTAAAATATTTTAAACATTGTTACATACAAGCACTATCCAAAATATGACTACATATAAAAGTGATTTTTTGACTTAGCATAGATGATAGAATATGTGTTTTCCATCATAAATTTATTCTATTTTGTTGTCTAGATTTTACAGCTTTACTTGTTGATATTATTGGAAACTCCACCAGTTATCTCACAGAAATATTCAAATCTTCTTCTATTCTTTCAGGTTTGCATTTCCTTTTAACATTTATTATTGTCTTATTTATCTGATTTACTCCTGGTATGGAATCAAGTATAAAAATATGTATAAAAGCCTATTACTCTCACTCAGCAGCATTTTTCTTGCAAAGCATGGACTGCAGGTGTAAACAGTCTCCTTAGAGAAACAAGAAACAGATAATATGTATATATATAATATAGAGACATATACGTTTCTATGAGCAGTTATGTTTTGTTTGAAAGTTTGGTGAATTATTATTAAATACTGGTATCTTGGGGAATAATGATTCCCAAAGAATAATTATGGGCTATAATATCTGAAGAATTTTTTTGCATGTAAAAATACTTGTAATTTAGAATTTTAATTAGATAGAAACATTTTCCCTGGAAATATTAGTATTTGGATTTGATGCTGGTTCAAGTTCTTTGTCAATAATCAGATCAGGAAAATATTTGGCCAGCTGCAGTAGCTACATGACATTCTGTGTTTGTGTTTTCAACTGTTTAAGATAATATCATATAATGAAAACTGGTAACAATGAGCTGGTTTACATTTTTTTGCCTTTCAGTTCGTCAGAGCAATGATTCAGATTGTATCTACATCTGTGTGATGACAGGGCAGACAGGTAAAAGTTAAAACTATTCCACCTCAAAATATTGCCCTATTTATTCTCAGTGATGACTTATACTAGAAACAAGCCTTTCTTGATATTTGTAAGCATTTCTATGTGCAGGGAGAAATGTCTCTGACTTTTGGGAAACGCTAGAGAAGTCTCCTGTTATTAATTACACATTTTCCAGTAACACATCTTCTGACCAGGGTAAGTACATCCTGAAGAATAAAAGGAAACAGCAACAACAACGAAACCACATCCAGGTAGCACTTGCAATGAATATTTAATCTTCATAGTGTAAAAATATTTTAAAGTATTATTTGATATTTCTATTAATATATATGTACATATTATATAATTTATTCTTATTAATCTGGAATAATATTTGATAGTATTTTGTGTATTATAATTTTTATATTATAAATATTAGTAAAATTTACAAACTTAAAGTTAACTTCCAGTGGAGGAATGAACAAAACTTCTTAGGATGAGAGCTTTTACAGAGTTCAGCAATGGACTGGGGAGACTCCCTGATGCTCTTAATCCAAATGGGTACCTTCCTTAGCTCTCAGCACAAATTATCTCCTACTTTTATGTGAGTTGCCCTCAGAAAGGAGCTGAATATGTTCATTCAGTGTGCTACATGGCTCCTCCACCCAAAACTGTTTTGCCAGGTTGAGCTGCACTTCACGTGCTCACCTCTCACTGCTGCCCATGACTATTTCTCATTTTCAATGCTTGATTAAACAGGGAGATAGTGAAATCAGTGGCAAGTTTACCTGTGCTGAAAGCTGTAGGATGCTTTGCTCCTGTTCAAAAATAAAAGAACCGAACCCAAAAAACAAAGACACTTTGCCAAAGTTTAGTTTAATTAAAAAAAGGCAACATGCTTTCTGTTACACCAGAGCCTGATTTCTTCCCTTTTTATCACACAATACACGATGCATGGTGAGCATTCTAACCCTATCTTCTCATACCTCAAAGACCTAGATTTGATTTTTTCAAGTTTCATGAATTTACAAGAAGACCCAAACAAAACAGTGGATCCATCAGCAGAACAAGTGTGGACATTTAAAAGTGAGCAAATATTGTCAGACCTAAATTTATATTATCCTTTATTAACGTCTTGATGAGTGATCATGTATGTTTGTTGCACAGAGCTATGACGTTGAACTGCAATTACAGAGTAAGATAAAAGTTTGTCCAAAACAACAGAAGATCAGAACAGTAATGCACTGAATAGCTGGGGGATAGAAAAAGGATAGAAAAAGATAGAAAAGCCGCTTTATTAGAAAAAATAGTTTTCTAAAAAGGCAGAGAAGTAAAGAAAAAATAGTTGTTGGTTTAAACTAAAAAAAACCCCAAAAGATTGTTTAAACGGTTTCCTCTCCTTTTTTATTGCATTTTTTTTTTCTGTATTTTTCTCTGTCTTTGACTTTGCATGACGATAGTTGCAAATAACTGAGCATTTCATAAACTTCATTGCATTTAGCTTCACCACAGGGCTACAAGATAGAAAAATGTTAGTCTGCTTCATTTTGAAAGTCAAAGCAAGACTTCACACTTGCTTGCATGTAGTAGAAGCCAAGAGAAATTCAGACCTTGACTTCATACCTCTTCGTCACTGCTGCTGCATCTCTCTACAATATTATAGTTTCTTTTTTTATTTATGAAAACTTGCACATTAAAATTTCCTCATTAAAAGTTCCAAACATTATTGACACTCCTCATGTTTCCATATTTAAAATGAAATGGAGATGTGGCCGCTCACCTGCCAGGGGATCACTCAAAGAGTAGATGGGATTTTCTGGGTGTGTTTTAGATATTATTGTGCCCCAGTGTGTTACATTCGTTGCCGCCATGGGGCACCAGCATCCACAGCACGCTGCTGGTGCCCTCCATCTGTCTCCATCTCTCCTGCTTCTCCAGATACCAGGAGCCCTCTTGCCCTGAAAGGGGAGGAAACCCCCACCACGAGGTTCCCACCATGGCTAAAGACGGTTGGAGTGAAAGGATCAGAGTTTCCACCACCGCACGTGGACACTGCCAGACCACGAGGCACAGCCAGACCCCCTCTGACTTCTGAGGGGAGCTTGGCCCCATCACCAGCCCTGCAGCCCAGCCCTGGTGAGTATGGAGAGGAGGACTGACACCCATTTTACCCCACTAGCAGTGGGGTTTGGCCAAAAGATGAAACCACATGTCTGAGGTTGAGGTTGGGACACCCTTTGGGGAGACACACTCTAGGTCACTAATGAGTAGACCTTTTTGCTGTAGAAGTGCTCAATTCAGTTATAGAGTCCATCTGTAGTTTTGTACCCTTTGGGGAAAAACTAAGCCTTGCTCCTCACAGACACCGCATCCACCCAGGTCTTCACTCACATTTTGCTCCAAATATAATGAGCAGACTTGTGAGAAAGCAATATAGAGACACTTCTCTTGGTCTTCACTAAACAGACCTTCTTTAAATCCTACCTTTCCTTAACACATGGACTGTACAAGATCTAGCAAAGAATAGCTTTTGTCCTTCCTTTTTCATCCTGACATTTTTATATGCCACTGGAAGTACTGAGTGAGGGACTCTGGCTGTTGAGCTGTCTCATGGATAGCAGTCCTCAGTAGGTAGATAACAAATATCCAGAACGACACAAAGCATGTGTCTTTCTCTTCCAATAGCTGACATGCATACGTTTTGGATGCAGATGGCATCTCCTCATGTAACCAGCAAACTGATGTGAACAGAGCCAGGTGAGATTGATCTGGGATAATAAGAAAGTGTGTCAGATGGCACATTTATGAAATATAAAATAATACATGTAGAAACAGGTAACTGTGAATGTATTTATACATCAATGTCTATGTAAGTATGCATACGTTTTGGATGCAGATGGCATCTCCTCATGTAACCAGCAAACTGATGTGAACAGAGCCAGGTGAGATTGATCTGGGATAATAAGAAAGTGTGTCAGATGGCACATTTATGAAATATAAAATAATACATGTAGAAACAGGTAACTGTGAATGTATTTATACATCAATGTCTATGTAAGTGTTTATTAGTGGTCTGTGACTTCAGGGGTTTTTTTCTTTTCTGTTATTCTTTCAACCAACCTTCCTTTTTTTTTTTTTTTTTCAAGATGTCAAGGCAAGTTATATTCTTTTCCCTCCAGATTTGCCTTCTTCACTACTGTCTACGCCGCCCTACAGGCCTGGTGTGGCATTGAAAATTTACTCTGCTACCAGTAAGTAGCTGCACCTCATGCAGCAAAACCAGTACTATGTTTGAAAGTATATATATATGCAAATTTTCGCATGCAGAAATAACATACATGTTTACTTTACATGATATCCTATGTATATAAAACATCCAAAATGTCTAAAGGACTGATTCCATATTGGTTTGTGAATCATACACAATCACACATTCAAAATATAAATTTTACTGTGGTGATAAAATTAGCATATGTACCCCATGTGTCAATTTTAACACGGAATGGTTGTTGGAGAATCTTAAAATTCATTCATTCCAAAAGAAAGTGTCATGCTTTAAATCTCTCTATTGGTACAAATAAAATCATTAAGTCAATCCATGTCACATGATATCTCCAGAATTGCCCTGAATTTACAATACTGAAAACTTCTTCTACAGCTAAAGAAGGATCATTATTGACTAGATTTTCAAGAAACCTCAGTTCTTTCTTTTAAGCACCAAAATAAAGAAGCAGAAATTAAGAGTTAATGGAAGATAGTATGCTACTCCACTTATAAGTATCGTATACTCATGTTGGCAATAAAATTTTATTTACAGACAAGTATTTAGTAAGGGATTACATGATTTGAAATACTGGACCTGATTCAATGCCAGGAGGGGAGTCTGAACTCTGGGAGAGTCCAGCATCTTCTCTGGATACTGAGCACGTGTGTGTGTGCCTGAGTCCAGGCCATGTGCACTTAAATTTGCAAAATAGGAGCAGAGCTCAGGAGTACAACAGGAATACATCTCAGCCACAAACCCCAGTCTTGGAGACTGAAGACGACTAGTTCAGTTCTAGGTACCAGCATCATGGACACATAAAACTAGGTAAAACACACCCCATCCTGTAGACATCTTTAGTACCCCTGAGGTCCTTCCAGTCCCCATCTGGTGTCCTTGCTTCCAGTGGTCACACTGGAAAAGAAGGCACCTGTCCAGTTGAGCAGCAGACAAGGTACAGCTGAAGTTGCATGTATGTCACAGTTCTTGATGATACGCTGGTCATTAACCTGGTAGTTAAGGAAGTAAATTTGAGGGATATGTTGGTGTGTATGTTCCAGAATTGATACTAATAAGGAAAGCATGTCAGTAATACTATAATTTCATATTGCTGTTGTATTTGAAGGGAAGATCCAGACTGCCTGTTCAGGCATCCAGACAAAATTTATGTGCCTACAGTCCGGACTCTGATTATGATTATCTCCTGTTCAGTGAGGCATAATCTTTTTAGGGAGAGAAGATAAATTTGGTAGCTACCACTGAGGTCAGTGTGAAAACTCCTGAAGTGCCTGAAGCTGGGGCAATGCTTCAGTCAGTGGGGCAACTCTGATCCAGTGCTCAGCTCAAGACTAGAAAGGAAAAATATGGTCCGCACTTTTCCAGAATAAGCAGATGGTTCAATTCCAGGGTTTCCCAGCACTAGGGCTGGGTCCTGACAGTTTGACTGCTTCAAGCTGTGATGGAGCTTTTGGCTCATGGGACGCTCTGGGAAGAGGTTGTCCTTGGTCCCCCCATTGAAGTTGACTCTGCTGCTACCACAAATGAGTGGGAACATGAATCCTGATGGATGGTGAGGACTGCTAGAGGGAATTTTAGAAATCTGTACCTCAACTGCTTGTGTTTCTGTGTAGCAACTGTCTAAGAGAAGCATAGACACTGGATAGTGGACTAAATTGCAGGGGTCTTCAGTATCATTTGGACTTGATATTATAGATAAAACCAGAAGAGTTCAAAGAACTAAAATTCCAGTCAAATAATATTTTTTCAAAGGTCTGTTTGGACATGTAGGAAATAGAACAACAACAACAACAAAAAGATAATATGAGCAAATAAAGGCCTGCAAATTCTGAAGGATGGTAGGTGAAGAGAGCAAAGAGAAATGCTGGTTATATGGCTTGTAATTGATTAGTAGGAAACTGAATCATTCTGGTATTTTCAAAGGAAATCATAGGTCTCTGGTATGGATTCTTAGTAAATCTTACTGAGAAAAAGATGCTGCTGATAGTCAGCCTGTTAAAACAGGAGAGGCAAAATGAAAAACTAAGAATCAACAACCGGTTTTTGGACAAAGGGAAACTGCAGCCTTGTGGTCCTTTGCACAGAGCAGCTTCCTAGCTTCATACAGGCAACCCTCAGGTCTCCATTTTGGGATTATTTTGAGACTTAAAATCCAAGTTCTAGTCTGGACTCCTTGCTAATCTCACCATTTCTAATGGCATTTGAAATACTGACTTCTCTCGGCTCACTGCTGAATTCCAACACAAAGTTACTTGTCTATAAAGGGTTTTTTGGCATGGATAAACATATTTGAGTAAGATATAAAGGTTTTTTTCACAGATCTTCAAGTTTTCTGTCACTAGGAATAATCACATAGTAGATGTCATTTACATTTTGCTTTGGTTTTGTTATTGCTGACTATTGCAACAATCCAATACCAGGATCCAGTGCTGTTACATTTTGTAACTTTTGCTGATCCTGATCAGGGTTTTCATAGTTCTCAGTCCTGTTCTTGTTGGCAGAGTTTATCAGCATATGTTGTGTTGCTTGCCTTCTTTCTTTCCTTCCTTTTTATTTTTTTTTCCCTACTCATATTATTAGAAAATAAAGTATTTGATAGTATACAACTCAGTAGGGCATATGTTTTCAGAAGTAAATAGTTATCAGAGTTAAAAATACTGACCATGAAAAACAAAGCCTGACAGTATCATCAAGTGATCATACTAACACAAGTCCTATAGAAAGGCTGTGTCAGGGAAGAGGGGGAGGAAGATACTGCCTGGGAGACCTGAGAAAACTGCAGTAGAACACTATCTGCTGAGACATATTTCCAAGGAGAAGACTCATTGGTCCTGAGTCAAGGAGCAGTTCATGATGCTAGAGGCTTTTAAACCATGGGGATAGGAAGCCAAATATATATATTTTTTGATCTTTCTCTTATTTTACTTCTGTTTAAAGATCTCAAAATACCAGAGTCCTCATCTTACCCTGCCATGATGTACATTGTTACGTTGTCTGCATGAAGAAAATGAGTCCTATCATATCACATGAATATAGTTTTCTAGAATTTATGATGAACAAGGTCTTGGATCTTGTCTTGACTGGGAGCAGAGGAATATGCTAATGTAATTCTAAACCATCAAAAAATCTGCACAAAAACAAAGTTCTCTGCATGTCTTGTTTGCTTTGGGTGAATTTGACTTTAGGATTAAATAGCAGCCAGTCAACTGGAAGTTGCTGGAGTGTGTGACTGGACTTCTGGTGTGCACAGTCCTGAGTTTGTTCATGTGCCAATTGTTGTCTGGTGGGCAGTGCTATAGACCCTGGAGAACATAGGACTGGGAATGAGCCCATTTTGAAGAAACATGGATTTCAATGAGATCGAGAGAATCACTAAATACCTCTCTATCAGAAACCACGATGACAGAAGCTACCTGTATATATCAATCATGCATTTGGGGAAATAAATTGAACAGTGGGATCACAAAGCAATGAAGGACATCCACAATGTTCTGAAGACTGAGATATTATTCCAAGAACTCATTTCTTAAATCACAAATGTGGATGACAACTAGCAAAATATGCAAGTGTGCATATTAGAATATGCAGGGAGGGATGTGGTAAATCTGAATTATTCACAGTAGCCATAACATTGCTTTTCACTGGCAGCAAAATTTAATCTCAGAGTCAGAGAGATGTGATACTGAGTTAATATTGGAAAGGTCTGTTTACTACAGCAAGAATTGGTCAATTATCTGCTTGTGACAGTAACATGATAATTTCAAATAGACAAGAACAAAGCTCTGCACAGGGAACTGTGGTTCCTTCATTTTCTGACTTCTTTTGACTGACTTAATTTCTTAGGAAAGAAAATTATTAGAAAAGAAAGTTCTGAAATAAATTCCTATCTTTTTTTTTTTTTTTAAATTTCAATCCAAATCAGTAAGAATTTATGAATTTAATGCAAAACCCACATTTCACAGTAGAAATTTATTACAGAAGAGATATAAAACATTACTACTAAGCTCTGAAAACTTTAAGTACAATATGTTGTGAGTATACTGTCCAATCTAAGTCAATTTAAATACAACATTAATTGAAAGAGAATTTCAGCATTACATAAATATAGTATTATATAAATTCAGCATTAATTTAAAATTAAGTGATTGTCAAAAATAAAAACAAAAGCAATTTAACTTTCAGCTTTTTTATTTGACTTCTCCTTCCCACATAAATGTATCCAAATTGAAATTGCAGTCATTTAATTTACATTTAATTAAAGCTGAATTTCTGCTCTCAAAACACATAGTTTGAGTAAGGCATTTAACACCTGTTAGAGGGATAGCAAGTAGCCACTTCTGTGGAGATGGAGATTTGTTGGAAGGTGGCTTGTAGCAAGTTTTAATTATTCACAGCAACTCTAACATTACTTTTCATGGACACTTTATATTAAAACTTCATTGCCTCATGATCTGATATTTTATCACTAACACGAAGAGTATTTATTAAAGCAATAAATATTTAATTTTTAATTGACATTGAATGGAAAAAAAATAAAGGTATTTCAAATGCTCTTAAGTGGACAAAGCCCTCTTGCTCATCCCTAACTAATTATACCTGTTATTTGTGTAGTGCCTTTGACACACAACTGTTTTTCAGAGAGGCCCATGAGTTTGGGAGCTGCAGGTGTCTGGCCATTACTCCTACATGACTCCTGCTACCTTGGGCAAGCCCTGGCAGAAGAGAAATAGTTTCATAACGATCTCTTTCAGGTTGGCAAAGCCTTTATTTCCCTTCTGCCCATGAATGCCATTTTATATTAAACTTCTTGTCAGCACTAGACGACTCAAGATTATTTCAACAGAACTTCATTAGTCCAATTTTAACCTCTGTAATCTCTCCTATCACATAACATAAGATGGCCCAAAGCTATAAAGCATATGAGACGTGAACCTGGAAATGCAATTACACTGTCTAAGGGGATTATACTCTGCAGGTAAGGCAGTTTATCTACACACGACCAAAGCCTGATGCTAGTTACACAAATGGAAAAAAACAGTTGACAACCACACTGCAGCTGCCTTCACTCTGCACATTCGGGCTCTTCCACCCCAATGGGTCCATGTGAGGGGGACACCCACATCATGAAAAATGTACCCTCTCACTGCTTGGTCCCTGGTTATCTTTTCAGAGCCCCAGCATGGCATTTTCAGGGATGTCTCTTTAATTTTCAGAGTGTTAGTGTAGGGGACACATCTCTTTGGAAGGCTGGCTGTGTGCAGGGGACAACACGATGTGTGTGCAGGCAGATCCCCACGGTCAGACGTGAGGGCTTGCAGGGCAGGCAGACTCATTGCAGCAACCCAAAGTGTGTCCTCACACACAGCATCTCCTCTTCAGAGTATGGTTATTAAGGAAAGGTGGTTACACACCTATTTTAGCCATGCTCTAGTAGACTTTTAGTATATTGTAAATGCTGTGGCTTTTTTTCCTAGCTTTTTCTTTGATTCTGACGCATCGTAATATAACTGTTACCTAAGGTGCAAGATGATATGTGACAGTTAATGGCTTGAAGAAGACAAGTCTATGATAAATGTTAGGTTCTTCTCTTAATAGGATGAAGAAAAGCCCTGAAAAACTGAAAATGGCTTCAATTTTGCCTTACAGTTTCTCATTTTCCCCCATTTTCACCTTGCCTTCTTTTCTCTTTTCTATAACAGAAAGTCTAAAGAGAGATTGTATTTGACACTGAAAAACCACATAGCAATTCAGGATTTTGTTATAATCTGCCATCACCTATTCAATAGTATTGCTTTCTCTGCAGTCTGGCACAGCTGCAATTGCTGGCAGGATTAAATGTTTGGTGTGCAAATGTTTATCTCTTGTTGCTGACTGCAGAAGATTCAATGAATAGAGTAAACTAGATATTTTCCCTTTTAGTTGGCCAAGAGAGTGGAAGAGGGAGTCCCTCCCCAGGCACACCATTTCCCTGCATTTTTCTTAAGTTAAAATAATATAATGGTGTTCACTTGCAGGAAAAAACACTGATTAACCAGCTGCCTCCTGGCAAACAAATAGTAAAATGGAGAAATTATTCCTACATTCCTCTCAGTGCAGGGAAAAATTGACCTTTTCTCCTCCAGTTACTTTTCAGTTTTGATGAAACCTGTATTTTTGCAGAGGATCTGTACCAGTAACAAAAAAAATGGGCTGAAATTAGCTGATTATTCAAGTCACTAAGAGCAAGAAGAGGAAAACCAATGGTGGACAGAGAGATGGACAGAGAGAAAGCCATGACCTCTGCATAAATCATATTTTTTTTGTTAACGAGGCTAAAAAAAATGTTGGCGAAAGCAATGACAGTCTGTTTGTTTGTTATATCAGTCATATTTAATCTTGGATTCAGATTTCAAGGGTGAGTGTAGGGAAGCATATAGAACTAGAAGTGAATTTTTCATTAAAGTAGCATATGCATATAAAAAATATTAAATATAGTAACTGTACAGTGCTGTTCTTTGTCTTGCTGTTTTGCAATGTGGAAAACTGATGCTTCAGTGGCAACTGAGCCTCCACCTAAGCAGGTAACAATAAATAAATTCCATCTTTACAGTTATTCCTTATATTTGTGATAAATAAAAGCAACATGGTTTTAAGTAACTAACCAATTATTACAAATAATAAAAAAAATAACAGATTATTTGTGCTTTCACTCAAGTAACTGTCAGGCTATGGGTTATTTTCTTTTCAATTATCTGCCTCACTCAGATTTCATTTTAAGATACCTGCCTGATCTTATTAATCTACATGTTTCTCATAGCCCAGATAAAACACTGGAAGAAATGTAATGGGACAAGTCTTTGAATTAGTTCAGAGTTGTATTTTTTCCTAGGGTGTCCACAGGCAATCCTCAAAGAGTCTCGTGCGACCTCATATCCTGTCACTCTTATAGTACAAAAGATCAATCCCTGTGTGATGGAGCTGTGTAGGTTTTTTCAGCTGTGCCTCTGTGTCGGTCAGAGAAGATATTCAAGAACAGAAGCCATGAGGTAAAACCTGGCACTAGTTTCTCCCTCTCTGCTTAAAATACCCCACTGGGATTATTTCAAATGACAACTTTCAATCACCATTGTTTATTTTTGAGAGTCTGTGGCTACTGTATGAGACCCAAACGGGTCCTCAGTGCACCGATCAATACCTGATCTGGTTTTCAGTATTCAAACTATGTGAATAAAGCTCAACCGAATTTTTCCAAATGTCTAATGACATCACTGAGCTCAGAATCTAACTTTTATTTCCATACTCAATATTAGCAGTATGATATGCATAGAGCTGTGCTTATGAAAGATAACAAGCCACTACTCTCCTAACTTTTAACTACATTTTTAGGTACTGTGTTGAGTACTATTCCTGGTTCTTGAAAAGTGCAAGTTATGTCTGTGAAAAAGTCAAAAGAGTTTCTTACTCACACAGTAAGTATATTTTCTCTTTATATCTCTACATACCTTATTATGAAGGTATAAAAAAAAGTTTTAGATATCCAAAGTATTTTCTGTCTGTCATCAGATAGCTATTTTTTCTGATAATTATTTTTTTAAGAGACTAAAAAAAATATTATTTGACCTTCATGTATGTTTTTAATATTTTCCTCATAAAACCTCTTTTGATGACAGTTTTCTTGTGTTCTTCCAGCATTAAAACAAAAATGCCTTAAAAACATCTGTACATCAGTCTAAAGCACTGAGGAATTTTACTGCAGACTGGAAGACTGGTGGCAGCTTTAGTTGTCTCTTTCATTTCTCAGTGTAAAAATCAGGATGCAACATGTTATTTGCAAATATTTGTAACAAGGCAAGATATTAACCAGATGTAAACCTAGAAATGTGTCTTCCTCTAAGGCATTGCAAAAATAATGTGTAAAACCAGATGTATTTTATACAAGTTATGTAACTGCAATAAAAACATTGAAAGGCTTTTTAAAATTGTATTTTATAAAGGATATTTATATGGTTGGCTAATGAATGCAAATAGTTTATTCTAGTTTTATTTACAATTAAGATAAAGCAATAAAAATGAACAAATACAAAATAATTTAAAAGCAACCTGAAATACTGAAGACAAGAAGGATTTTTCCTGATGTTAAAGACATGCAGATTATTCATTATTCCAAAAAAAAGTCTCTCCTTCCTTCTGCAACTCCTCTAGTGCAGAGCTTGACCAAGGAAATATTCACACCTCTTCTATTCTTGTTCTGTAATATATTTGTGTGAGCTCACCAGGATTCATCTCCTTCCTTATATACACCGCTGGTGAACTAAAAGCCATTTCTAAAAAAGGAAAGACAAATTACACAATCTTGTATTCTGTTACACTGCAGTAATACGATGCTACAATTAACCCAAAATATATCATCAAGACATTAATATTTCAAAAAAAGATTATTTGCACCACAGCTGTTTGCACATTGATGTTTCACTGAAGAGATATGTGTTCAAAGTAGTATAAAGCCAAAGAGAAAGGTGGTACTGTAAGGAATGTTGCCTCCAGGGAGCAGTGGGACTGAGCAGCCCCCTTCCAAAATACATTTCACTGTTGTGCCTAATAGCATGATGGAGACAGAAGCATTTCTGTCATATCAAAGATCAGGATAGATTAGAACAGTATCAATTACAGTTGATATTGAAAGTTAGGCCAGTGGAAGAAATAGGAATGTCAATACAATGAATGTTTAAATTGGAAATATTAACATGGCCATGGTACCGCAATGCTGTGAAGAGACCTCACTCTGTAGCACTTCTCCTCACCCAAGACAGGACCAGTTCTGCTGTGAAGAGCTGGGTAAATTACACCTTTGTGCAATTGTTGCTTTTAAATCTCAGGAAAACGTCCTAAAGCCTAAATATGTGATCTACAAAAAAAAAAAAAAATCTATATTTTTTCTTACATTTTTATCATTAAGTTGTCTGCAGCTCAGGAAGAAGGGCATGAGAACAAGAACATAAGGGGAGAAAACAATGGTTAAAGTCAGTTTGGCTTTCTGAGGTTGTTTAGTTTTGAATAAAAAGACAATATCAAAATAAAAATATTTTTGGAAAAGTATTCCCTTTTAAAATATTGTTTTATTATTATTTTAATGAATTTAATCAGCTCTGAGTTGTAGCCCTGATCTCCATGCTAAAGGACACTTTTATGTTTATAAGAAATCATTCTGTGTTTTTCCTTAAGGAATACAAGTCCTTCGGCAGAGTGATAACCTCTCTATAGTGCAATGAGAGGTGCCTGAGCCCTGTCTGGCACTGGAGGGGTCACAGCCATCTCTGCTCTAAGACCATGGAAAGGGATGAGAGCTACTGCTCGAGTATTTTCATGGGAAGAGAATTAGAAGATATCACATAGTTATGGGTAACTTCTGAAAGGTGCTGAGAAAGGACTAATGGTACCTGTCCTGAATGACAAACTTCTGGTTACAGTTGTTAAAGACTTACTGTTTAGATTTCCCAGGAAAATAATGAAAATTAATGAGAAAAACTACAAAATAAGAGGAATGAAAAAGCAAAGCCCCATGAAAAAAAGTGAACACATTGGCTGCCCTCAAAAAAAACCACAACTTTTTCCATATTCCAGTTTTTTCAGTCCTGCAAAGACTCTGTGCGTGTTTGGCAGAAGTACAGAAATGATGGTGGCATATGGGCAAATCAGTATCTCAGAGGACTCATGTTTATTACTATGCCTGGCCAAGGCTACTCTGATTTTCCAGGCTGAAAATGTTTGTCAAAGCACTAAAAATGCACTTAGGGCAATTCCTCGAGACTCCAACTAGAAGCACCAAAACTCACATGAAAATGAACTTTCATATCATTAAGGCATAACTTCTGCTATGTTTCACTCTTCTGTAATGTTCCTTGATAAGGCTGGTCAAAGAAATGATATGACTGAACCCTGTCCTTTTTCTGGCAACCTGTCAGTACCAAATTGATCTAGAATCACAAAATCACAAAATGGTTGAGGTTAGAAGGGATCTCTAGAGGTCATCTGGCCCATCCCACTGCTGAAGCAGGGTCACCTAGAGCCAAGTGCCCAGGACCATGTCCAGATGGCTTTGGAATATCTCTAAAAGAAGGAACGGGAGGGACACTCCGTAATCTCTCTGAGAATCCTATGCCAGTGCTCGGTCATCCTCACAGTAAAAAAGTATTTCCTGAAGTTCAGAGGGAACCTCCTGTGTTTCAGAATGTGCCTACTGCCTCTTGTCATGTCACTGGACAACACTGAAAAGAGTCTGACTCTGTCCTCTTTGCACCCTCCCTTCAGGTATTAATAAGCACTGACGAGATCCCCCGAGCCTTCTCTAGGTTGAAGAGTCCCAGCTCTCTCAGCCCCTCTTCATATGAGAGTTGCTCTGGATCCTTAATTATCTTTGTGGCCCCTCCTTGGACTGTCTCAAGTTTGTCCATGTCAACAACCCAAAACTGAACACAATACTCCATGTGTGGCCTTATCAATGCTGAGTAGAGGGGAAGAATCCACTCCCTCAATCTGCTGTCAATCCTTTGCTTAATGCAGCTGAGGATGCCCTTAGCCTTCTTTGCTGCAAGGGCACACTTCTTATTCAATTTCAACTTGGCATTCACCAGGACCCCAGGTCCTTTTCTGCCAAGCTGCTTTCCAGCTGGGTCGCTCCCAGGATATATTGGTGCACAGAGTTGTACTCCAGGTGCATAAGACTTTGCACTTCTTGTTGAACTTCATGAAGCTCCTGGTGGCCCATTTCTCCAATCTATCAAAGTCCTTCTGGATGGCAGCATGACCCTCTGGTGTATCAGTCACTCCTCCCAGCTTAGTGTCATCTGCAAACTTGTTGACGGTACGCTCTGCCCCAGAATCCAGATCATTGATGAAGGTGTTAAGCAAGATCGAACCCAGTATTGACTGCTGGTGTACACTGCTAGTCACTGACCCCCAACTAGACTTTGTGCCTCTGACCACCACCCTCTGGGCCCCACCATTCAGTCAGTTTTCAACACACCTCACTGGGGTCATTCAGCCCATATATCAACAGTTTCTCTATGAGGATCTTATGGGAGAGAGTGTAAAAGGCCTACGTGAAGACAATGTAGTTCACAGGACCTTGGAGGAGCCAAGCCTTTTGTTCAAGTATGTATTTTTACAATTATCAATTTGTTAGACTTCTCACTTCTCCACGTTAAAACTCAGTGGACAATTTGCCTTTGTTGATGGCATCTTTGAAGGGTAGCTGTGTCTGACCCTGGCAGTAAACACACCTTCCCAATGAGGAGAAGCCTACCCAAAGCTCATTGACTCAACCTTCTCCTGGATTTCACTCAGCTTTGGATCAGAGCCACCGTGGATAGACATGAGCAGACTTCTGAACGCTGAGGAATGCCAGTGTTTAAAGCTGTATAAATTTTCACTCATCTTTCATCACTGAACACTATCTCTTGCTAAGCTATTAAAGCCATATTCACATGCTCCAGAGATTTTGTGAGTGATTAGTAACAATGAGATGATTGTTGTTTAATTACAGCCAAGAGTATTAGGGAAAGTTACTATACAGTGAATGCACCTGCAGAACAGACTTCTCAGTATAGATCCTTTACATGGATGGAGCTATATTACTAAGATAGACTGTGGGCATAATGACTCTAAGGAATCTCATGGAAGAATTAATTAATAAATGTTGAAGTGGGTTTGATAAAGGCAGTGATCACATGGGTGGGGTATATATCCAGGTGGGTATAAATAACTTAGTACTGACTTTGTTGAAATCCATTTGTCCTCCATCCAACAGCTTTTGAATAATATCCCTCAAGGTAAGACTTTCTAGACGTACTCTCTAATACGGGAATCAGAAAGAAAACAATGTAGAATAAGCCATCTGGGACTGTGGTGTTGTAGACTAAAGTATAGGTAAGAGATCTGGAACAGTAAACTATAAATATTTAGACCTGTTAGATTTACAACCTTACTTCCTGATGAAATATTACAAGATTTTTTAATAGAAATGAATGCAATATTTGACCTTAGGGGAGCAGGTAAACAACAGTAGATACATATTTGAAAACTGATAAATAAATGCTTATTTATTTGGCTGAAAAAACTCTGACTTAGAAAATCATTCTAAATTCATGGTTAACTCTGATTGAAGTTCAAAATCTATCTATTATCTGTCATTTAATGAACACTAGTGTAAGGCTTTTAGCTTCAGAAGAATTCTTTACAAACATTTCTCTAAGGACATGCACATTCAGAACTTGAAGCTCTCCAAACAACATAGAGTTTATCATTAGGAAAATTTATGATACATTAGATCAGTCTCAACACAGATTAGAGTAAATATTTGACTAGAAGTGGGAGAGATTTTTGTGATGTGAAGCAAACTAAGATAATGGATTGAATTTTAACTGGGTTCAACAGAAGTTATCCCAGAACAACTCTTCATTTACACAGTGTTTCACAATATCTGCATTTAAACATAATGTGAAGAACCATTTAAACATTCTGTTGGATCAAGTAAGATGTGAAAACTGTTTGCAAAACAAAAGAAACGTAAAATACACTATTTTATTGCTAAATCGACTTTCCCTGTCTATGGCACTTTGACAGAGTCTGTTGACTCACCTAAAGCAATACCAAAATAAATATTTTTAGTCAGGTTTATAGAGAACATTGGTGAAATTTGGAGGATACATAAGGCTCATCATTGCTGTAGTATGTGCATTTACCATGATAAAGGCGAAAATTGAATTGTGTCAAACAGAAATACAACCAGGCTACAAAAGAATGATTTTCTAAGCTGGCGTCTTCCTACTCCCAGACTCAAGAGATAACATTCTGCTTAATATTTTACTTAACTCACCAGGCACACCAGTCCACTGTGTGACTTTTTCTTGTCTTTGGATTAAGCAAAAAATGATTGTAACTCTGCTGGTGTCTATGTCAATGGTGTTGTACAGTGGTAAGTAGCAATTTATTTTTATGAATTTTTGCCATTTATGCCTAAATGATATTTTAAGTACATGCATTTGGAAGCAATCCTCTGGAAGCATACTTTTTGTCCCCTCAAACCTAGTTGTCTGACACCCAAATGCACTAAGTTTATCCATGGAATTCTTATAAAATATAGTTTTCTCAGGACTTGTAGTGAAGCAAAAAACATTTTGTGGACTTAAAAATATGACCCAAAAATTACAACTTCTCTTCTGCCAACATTTCATCATTATTTAAGTCCTTTAGACTCCAAAAATGTTACAAGTTACATATAAAAAGCTTCTATTCATTAAATACATGTATATTGTCTAGAACCTCCAAACCATTCAGTGCATCCTGAAATATAACTCATGTTCAGCTAGAGCTCCTCCTTTAAATTTTACTATGAATAAGTTTTTTTCCTTCATGTAACTGTTTTGGTTTTATTGCCATGGGTGAATGAGCTTCCCAGTGATAGGAATGGGCAAACATTCAACTTTCTGCAGTCCCTACACTGCGTAGGAATGTCATTAAGAGTAGCAGTGTGCAGGAGAAGAGAAGGACTCTTAGAAGGCCTAATACCATTCCTGGTCACTCCATGGAGTTATTTCTAGAGGGAAAAGAAAGCTCAGCACCTTGGCATAGACAAATATCTGCACTGACCTACTTCAACTTCACCAGCTGCCTCTCTTTTAAGGGGCTGCATTCATTAGAAGTCAGTAAAGAAACAGATCTAACACAAAATGGGCTAAAATAAGTTGACGTAGCTGAATCTTAAGACTCCTACTATACAAATAGCTATTAGTAAGAATATTAGCATTTCCCACTTCAGTGATAGAGAATGGCAAAACACCTACACTGTTTATTCATAAAAAAATAAAGGGGTATTTAATCTCCATGTAAAGGGGACTATATATATTGATAATATCTAGTGCAGTTAGGAATATCTGGACACTCCGAAGTTTTTCTGACATAACATTTGAAAAAGATTTCACCCCAAACCTCAAAAGGCTGTGCCACAGTTTTTAGATTTTTTTTTCCCCAGTTAAGCACAATCTGAACACAAAGATTTAAAATGCTAACATTTTTATCTTTGGAGAGGATTACCAATTTATATTTATGTGGCATCTATTCTGTTGATCTCTGCTTTGAGACTGAAGCAAATGTCTGTGCATGAACTAGCATCTTTGTGAGGAGCTAATGTGATGTAACTTGAATAAATCAAATAGGTTGGGTTTGCAGCACCCTGACTTTTCCTGGCACAATCAAGGTTTCTGCTCCCCGAGGATTATAATGACTGTGTCCATGCCTTATATTATGACATTTTAATTAGCCATGATTGCAAAAAAAACCAACTGGAGGTGCACTGATGGGGTTTTTTGTAAGTTTTTTTTCAGATAACACCTCAGGAAAGCATTGTCAGAGTAAAAACATCACAGACACGGTCCAAAAACATTTTTACATGTATCTGAATGTTGAAAGAAAATCTGTAGATAAAGTATACAACTGGAAAGCCCAAGACCTGATATATCATACAGGTCTCCTCAGGACATGTGCCAAGTCATTTAGCAGGTTTTGAGAAAGGCGAGAGAAATTGACCTCTCTGGGGTCTTCTAAGGTTTGAAGGATTGACTTCTGTAGTGCAATCTTTCACTGGCTATACAGGACATTATGTGGGACCAACAGCCCCAAAAGACATGACTGCAAAAGAAGAAAATAGAATAATTCATCCATAAAGTATTTTCTTGTTGTCCCTCCCTCCACAATTTAAACAAATTTAAGAAATCTTGTTAGTAAACATTGGTTCACTGATCTTCACTTAGTGACAATTAGAAATATCATTCTTCATAACAAAAGGATTAGAATAACTAAAGGTTTACCAAGCTTCTGTCCCTGTGGTAGAGATTTTTCTTCAGGGGAACCTCAAACATTTATATGTTAATTAGGTGTGTGCAAAATAAATTTTCTAAGAAAAACTAAGTGCAAGTGAAGGATGATGGAACAATCATAACTTCCAGCAGTTCTGTAACATGGCTTTATCAATTCTCTCCTCTGTCTCATTTCAACTCAATAGGATTTGCATATTTTCCAAAATTTTGCTGAAAGGACTAAATGATCAATGGCTATTTATCCACAGACACTGAGTTTGAGCCATGGTGTTACGCAGTGTGTCAAAACCTAGCTTTAGATGCACTTGTTAGAACACGGCTTGGGGGAAGGTTGTTTGTAGAGGAAATACATGTTTTAAACCAGGTAATAAGGCGGAGTATTTCTTCAGTGAGCATGTGTACAAATGTTATTTATTTTGCAAGACACACCATTATTTCACTTGAAACCGAATTCCTCATTGCTCTCAAGCTTTCAACAGACTTCTTCCAGTCCTGTGAAAAGGTCAGCCTTTATCGAGAGACCTTTTCTGGTTTGTGAAAAGCTGTCAATTCCCCTCGGACCTGTTGCCGAGGGGCAATTGACAGCTTTTCAATTCAATGAAGGACAATGAAAGATGGATTGCTGTTCACCTATAAGCTTTTTGATATGACCAAGACTTTTAGGAAAAGAATAAGTGGAAGCAGAAAGGAAAAAGAGGAAACACCTCTTCCTACCTGCCTCAATCTCATATCCATATTCTGCCACCTAACTTGAGAAATTAATTGCTGAGGGCATATGACTGTTACCACGAACATGTTGTTCAAAAGAGTTGAAGACATCTTGAGAGGGCCTTTATATACAATAAAAAAAAAGTCCCATTTTTCCCTAATCCTTTGATGAACATAGAGTTAAGCCTTATATCTAACCTGCCCATTATTCCACTTTATTCTCTTTCACGTATATTTATTGCAGGACAGTGCAACAGATTAGCAAAACAATAGACAGTTCTTTCCCAGAATCTTTCGTAGAGAAAATGGACAGTTTTACTAATGCCAGTTATTCTGAGATATAAGCTATGCTATGAAATTAACCTTAGGTTCTTTCTTCAGTTTTTAGATCACTGAGCCAATAAATATCCTTGATTTTTTACCTCTTAAAAAAAATCAAGTTTAAATAAATCCAAAGTAACATATTCTCTTCTAAAATCATGCAGAAGATAAGAACAAGGGAAAAAAATGGGAAGGAAGAGAACAAATATTAGATTTCACCCTAATACAGGACATGGAAAACAGAAAAAAAAAATAAAAGTGTGGAAAATATACCACAGCACCTTCAAAACAAAAAAGAGATAATTAAGTTAAGAATGAAATAGTGAATAGAAGAGAGGCACTAATGCAACTGTCAATAAGAACTCAGAAAAAAACCAATCTCTTGACTTCAGATAACCCTGCTTCAAATAAGAGCACAGGGTTACAGAGTAGAAACATTGGGGACAATGAAAGTAGTTGGGCAACTAAAACAATTTTATACAGTTCTACTTATTTATTCCAGTAAATGCTACTGTTCAGAAGAGTACAGGAATACAAGGGTTAGCACATCTTCACTAGCAATACCTCAGTTTAACAGAGGACTGATTTTTAAGTTCAAGTCAATGTGACTTACAAGTATGCTTCTGGGCTTTCCTGGGTGCAGATGGAGCTAATCAAGTCTTTCATGGCTTTGATAAAACAGCTTGCTGGTGTAGGAAGGTATTCAAAAATGCCTGCAGAGTATGTGTCATAATGAACTATATGTTGTTGGTTTGGCTTTTTTGTTTCTTGTTTTTAAATCTTTTTCTTCTCAAATTTGTTTGCTGAGGTAGGTGGCCAAGAATTGGAGCCACCAGCATTCCTGCCAGAGCTTCTTAACACACCTGAAAGAATCTTGAGTAAGAATGGTTTAAGTTTTACTTTCTACAATGTTGCATGACAGTAGGGAATCACTCGTACTCCAGAAGCATTGCAGACAAGTGTGCTGTTAGCTAAGAACTCATCTCAAAATAGTTTAACAACTGAAGAAAGACCAGGGGCAGTCTGGGGACAGTACTTGACATTTATTTTTTAAAAAAGAAGTGTGATTTGTTTGTTTTTTCATTTAGGCAATGCCACATTCTTCAATGGAGTCTTTCAAAATGTGGAAAGTGTTGCAATATTTTTTGGTAAGTATGTGTTCCAGTTGTACTCAAGCACTGAATAGAAATCCCATGGAGTTTGATTTTGTTTATATTGAAAAGGAACAGGGATTGTTGAGGCTGTATTTTTCCCCAAAGACTAATATAATACTAAATACTGCTGAGTGCCAAGCATTGTTCAATGTCCCTGCGTTAGTGACTTGTTTAGGCTCTGCGTTCATCACCCATGTGTGACCTACACCTAGCTCACCTCCACTTACCATGCATTTTGTGTCTGCTCTCTTTCCAGACTGCCTGGGTTCTCACTTCACCTGGTTACAGTCCATCTTCACTAACTTCCCTGCCCTGCTCAAGTTTGTGAACAAAATGAAGTGTGCTACTGGTTTTTGTCCCAGGGATTTTGAAGATTATGGTTGTTCTTGCCGGTTTGAGATGGAAGGACTGCCGGTGGATGAAGCTGATGAGTAAGTCTTATCCATGATATCTCCTCTTCTGCCCCGACTGTCTGTCAGTGCCTTTGTGCTGTTGACCCAAAGCATAACACTTAACTAAATGATTTAAGGACAGTTATAAAAAAATAGAAGAACTACCCAGAGGTTAAGTCAGTCCCACACCATCCAGCTCTGTTTTATCTAGTCATCACTCACTTACAACCTAAATATCTGATATGACCTACAAAAGATAACTTTCACTCTGGTTTATCAGTACTTTCCTGTGTTATTCCTTCCTGCTAGTGAGCACTATCTTTTTGATAGGACAGTTTGCTGTATCAGTTGCCTTACAGCGTGGCTTGGAAACAGATGAAGTCAAGGCAGTCATAATCTACAGTATGTGATGATCCACTTGCTTCTTTTTTCTCATAGCTTGAAGTCTTCATTTCCCCAAACTGTGATGTGCAGAAATACTCCCATCCTACAGATAAAAACAGAGCGCCCTACACCTGCATATAATTCCACCAGTGCAACTCTGGTGGCACAGCTGGTTTAAACTGGTTGCAAACAGTGGTTATTAATGCCATAGACCAACTAGACACTATACCCAGCTCGTTGACATATCCTACCCAGAGGTCTCTCAATTCTGAATTGGCCTTCATGAACAAAACCATATTCATTTCTTTGTACTGGCGAATTCTGTCTTACACTTAAGTCAGTGCCAAACTGGAGGGCCTGTTAATAAGGTGAGTGGGAGAGCATTAATTTGAGCAGTTTAGTGGGTTTCCAATCTTACCAAACTGTCAGTATTGTGAGCTGTGTAATGCACCAGCAATATAAGCTTATCATGGACTATAATGAAAATGTTGGTATCTGAGGGGGGATTTAAGCATTGACAGAATCAGTTTACAGCTGAGTATGACTTTAAGTGGCAGTTAGGAGGTTAGGTAGATCTTGCCCTGAATACCTGTGTATATCCTGAGGTTGTAAGACACTGGAGCATCCAGGCACAGAGAAGAACAATGTAGCTCAATGGCTCTTCCCAGTACCATGCACTAGGAACAAAACCATCCAAACTCCACCTTGTGCTTTGGAAGGAAATTGCCCCAGACACTGACTGGGATAGTGAGAAAAAAACGTAATCCTGGGCCAGAACAATCAAATGATTGTTCACTTATACCAGCAGGAGGTGTGAAAATAAAATAAAATAGACTCAAGATCCATCCATGTCTAAATAGAAAAAAGTTTTCCCAACAATATAATGTAATGTAGTCATTCCCTGAGTGAAGGCAGCAATGGCTCAGAAAGGGCTAGTGCCCGTAGCTAGATGGAAATTAATTTATTCATTTTCCAGCATTTTTTTTTTTTTCTTGCTACTGGAAAAAAGCCATGGGACTTCTTAGGAAAATTTTTATGAACAATCACGATGATATGCTGAAACGAGAGCTCAATTCAGTTCAATGGATTGATATCCAAAAAGCTGAGCACCTGGGATTTCACTTCACTCAGCTTCATTTTAATGCAGAACAGCATAAATACAGAAACAGCAGAATGATCTCTCAGATGTCTCATCCTGAGAAAGGTCCAGAGAGTCACTTTGTGTTTACAAATTGGTTAGCAGTCCTGCAGTGAGCTTTCCTTAGCAGCATGGCAACCCCACTGCAGTTTGCAGCAAATGGAGACTGATTATTGTTTCACCACTGACACAGGTATGCCGTTGGCTCAAGAGAGCCTCCAAACAGGTGGCTGCTATGTGTCTTTCTCAGACACAGTTCCCACAGTATTGCATTTTTTTTTCATTATCTTTATTTCATAGAAACTAGTTTTGCAAACCTTAGGTTTCATCACTGCAATTTCTGTTCCATAAAAAAGGGATTAACATTTCACTGTAGGTTTCTGAGGCACTGGAAAATGCTTGTGCTCATAAGGCCAACCTTTTCCCATTTCCAGAGTAGCTAATTGTCATATCTGAATTAGGAGCCTAGCCTACCTTCAAAGTCCATAGGGAAAGAGAAACATGTCCAGAGGACAATCCATATCATACAATCCCCTGCTCCCAAAGAGAAGGTAAGTAAATTTTCTGACTGTTGCCGTAAGTGTTGATGTAACTATGATGCACTAAACAAAAACTGCAGGGAGTTTGTATCAGACTAATTATGCAGTTAGAGGAGCATTCAGGTGCTGACTCCTCACTAGACCTCAGGCAGAGACAGAAGTGAGTCTTGAGACATTTTATCAGCTGGATGTTTAAAGCCCTGTTCCTGATGGAGCTGATAAACTTCAGCCTCGTTTCTGAAACTGCACAGTAGCATTTGTGATGCTGAGGAACCATCAGGGCCTCTCTGCTGAATGTTCTATGCCCTCACCTTTATTCAATACATTCCTGCAGTCTCCTAGACCAGGTTAAAGCAGAGAGCAAAAACATTAACAGGCAGCACAGACACTGGAGTACAAGAAACTGGGCTTTGAAATTTCATCCGCTGGGATAATGTTATTCATGAGCTCTGATCTGCTGCTGGCAATCTGAGCAAACCTCATCACTGATGTCTTTCACCAAGCCAAAAGTCTGATCACAGTTAGGACTTGGACTGCTTCCCTGGTTGTGAGGACATATGAAACATTGTAATTTTTTTTTTTTTATTAATATAGTAAATGATTAAATATTAAATGCTTCCTAAATATAGGAAGTGAGAAAGTGAACGTGTAGCCTGGAACAACTTGCAAGGGGCAGGTGTTTGTTCCCTGCTTTGATCAGTGCAGGAGTGTTTCTGTCCACCAGTGAGTTCAGTACATATGCAGGGCTGCAGGTGATGTGTAATAACATAGTCACTACATCTTTAACAAAAATCCCACATGAGCTTAAATAAAGTTAACTCCTTACATTATGATCACAAGTTTACCCTTCCTGGCAGCAGATGCTGATTTTGAGTGTTAATGTCTTTGGATTTGGCATGGTCTAGACCAATGGCAATTCAGTAACAGACCCCTGGTCTGAGTTCATTTATCTGAAATGAGGATTTTTGAATCTAAATCTAACACTAATCCCTGCTTAAGCTATGTAACAATTTTATATAGGTTAAATGATGACTGAATGTTTTACTAGTGTTTCATTTATAGCTGATGTCAGTGCACACAGATGTTGCTATAATATAGAAGTAAATGACATGCCTGTTCAAAAACAGCTGAAGAGAAAAGAGGATTGATGAAGAGCTTGTTTTAGTTGACTTTTCGTCTCTATTCAGAGCTGAAGTGGTCATGCAGGCATTTGAGGTTTGCTTGACAGCAGGGTTGTAGGAGAATGCAAGGTTTCTAACTGCTTTTGTTGTGTGCTGGTAGGAGAAAGCTGTTTTAATTCAGTGTGAGAAAAATATTTCATGGTCCCATCCCATGGCTAAATGGTGCATTTTAATTCTGATTTTTGCATAGAAGAGAAAGTACAAGAAACAGGATAAGACTGCATGTATTTATATAGTCTCAATGAGACACAGGGATTCACAAGGCATTGCAGAGACATTATCACTCCATGAGTGACAGGTTCTGTGTAGTTCTACAAATCTGCAGTGAGAAAGGTTGTGGCAGGTCTGGAGCCAAGATCTCTGGAGTCGAGCTGTGGGGCACTCTTCAGCAGTGAGCTGACAGTGTTGTGGATCGATATTTGGGCACTGATAGTGGATTTCTCATTTAAACTAACTGCAGAGTCCTTGTAAGAACTCAGGTACTACAGCAGGACAGATATATAAGTGTGGTCTCCCACAGCATGCAGACCTGCTCCCACCACTGAGTTTTGCATCCAGCTGTACTTATCCCACTAGACTGTTCAGGGAAAAGCAGTACTCATCCTTTCTTGTGTTTAGGAACCACACAGAGGATCCCTTTTTCTCCTTTGGCAACTTTTGCATTCTTGTGTAAGAGCAACATGAAAACATTGCAGTCTGATGTTGAACTGAAACCAAATTGTGTGAACATTGTGTTATTTCATTCTTTAAGATGTTGTTTCCAGCACCGCAAATGCTACGAAGAAGCAATGGAGATGGAGTGCACGTGGGACCCATCAAAGATTTCTACAGATGTCAGCTGCTCTATTGAAAACCTGAACTGTGGTAAGTTTAACCTATCACAATAGGTTAATACTGGAGTCTCACCATGACTAAGCCATTCATACTGGTCTATCTACAAAAAGTCATATATAAATAAAGTAGAAACTCCTCCATGTGTGGATTTTTATGGGATTAAGTGTTCTGCTCAAGGGTGAATGGAAATAGGAATGCACAGAGGCAGCAAACCCCAACTAGACAGGAAAATTTAAGTCCAATAACTAGAAACTTGCCAGGGCTTATCTAACAGGCAGCCTCTTGCTGAGGATTCCCTGACTTTGCAGGACCCTTAAGCATTGCTTGAGATATCTCCACACATCAGAAATGCAGTGGATACTGGGAAAAGATCTGAAAAACAGTTACCTTCTGAAGCTTCAAGGCCTGATTTTTATATACTTTGAGAGAAATTCTCTGTTTACAAGGTCATATGTACTTCTCAGTTACAACAGCATCATCAACAAGTGTAGAGACCATGCCGCTATAACAGGAGCTACTCCATGCGGTACTGGTACAGTCCTGACAAATGTGGAGTGGGGATCTTTAATGCTTAATCATTTTTAATATAATTTTTCAGTAAGTATTGGCTCTCAGAAAACACTGTATGCTAGGACATGATTTGTTGATACCAACAAAGAGGAGCAGAATCCCTAAATCAATACCCTTACGGCTTGTTTAAGCCACATTCTGATCCAATTTCCTTTTCTTGTTTTAAATTAAGACAATTTTTGCTATCTAGACCAATCTATAAAGGTCCGAGTAGATTTAAACCTGCATAGTGATTTTGTAGTTCTTTCCATACTTAATGATCAGAAAACTTTCTGTTCAAATAAAAGAAATAAAAGGAAGAAAAAAAAGAATAGTCCCAATGGAAAATGGGAAATATAAGTGTGACAGCTCTAAAATGTCAATGTTTTTTTTGAAACCCTGAAAGGTATAAAGTTTTGAAGTGGGAAAACAGTATTTCCTGGGAAACTGTTTCATATCCTTTATAAGGAGCAAAACACACCTTGCATGGAAGGATTGACTTGTAGACTATGATTTCTTGAGGTCTGGAGGATATTTTAATGAAGTATGTGAAATGTCAAACTCGGTATCACCTGGGTTAAGTTTTCCATGTAAAAACTAGAAGCAGAAAAGTACTGGTCTTTAGTCCTGACTACTCTGCAGAAAAAAACATCACAGGCAAGAAGTCTATTCCCAGCTGTGCCAGGCTACATTGGATGGCATTTCAGAAAAACAAAACAAAACAAAACAAAACTGTGTTGGACTGTGAAACTTTACTGTGTTTAATGTGAAGAAGCACAGTATAAGTAGGTTTGCACTAATGAATATAGACACAAAACTTAGAGTGGAAAAAACAGGAGACGGAAAAGATATTTCAATAGTACCTTGTTTGGATTTTTATTTTATTCCCAGAGTCTGGGGATCCCTGTGAACAGTTCCTCTGCAACTGTGACAAAGATGCCATTGAATGCTTTGTGAACACGCATATTAACTCTTCCTTGAACGGGCTGGATATCTCCTCCTGTCCATCTCTGGTTACAGGTAATAAAAAGGATCTGATCAACTGCCTCCTCCTGCTATTTTTTTCACTGGCATCAAATTTGACCCAGCAAGAATGAATCAGTAGCTGGGTGCTTTCCTGTACTAAATCTGGCAGTCTGTCATATTCTCCATTTCACGTGTCCTTTCCATTTACTGCTACTCAAATGAATACCAAGAGAGAAGAAGGTGTACTAATTGCCACCGTGGAGCAAGTCCAGGAGAGGTTACCGAACTGGTGAGGGGCCTGGAGCACATGAGAAAGAGAAGGAGGCTCAGGGGAGATTTTTTTTCTGTCCTCAATACCTAGTGGGGTGTGTAGAGAAGCTGGAGCCAGACTCTTTCTGGGGGTGCACAGGGACAGGACAAGAAGCAAGAAACACAGCCGTAACAGGAAAATTCCAGTTAGACATAAAGAATTTTTTTTTTTTTTTCAGGAGGCTCCTGCCAACCCTGTGAGACTCTTGCCAACATGAATGAATGGGTGATACTTGGCTTGATTAGTGACCCACTGAGGTCACTAGCAGGAATGCCAAACTGAAAATATTGCTAGTTCAAATTTCCCCTTAAATTGTGCAAAAATTACCTGGAAAGACAAAAATAGACCCACTCTGCTCTGTTACTTCGTTTCCTTCTTGGAAGGAAAAATCCTCTCTAAAAATGAAGGGGATATTTATCTCCATTGTCATACACGGATCTGTGCCCTGTAGCTGAAATTACAGCCTTGTAAAACTGAATACCTGTCCTGTGGGAACAGGGCTGGATTAAAAACTTAATTCATATGGATTGCAATCAGAGCGTGGCATGGAGAAGACCTTTGAACTCCCAAGCTGAGACAGACGTGAAAAAGCAGTGCTTGTTTCTCTAATTCTTTGGCTCATATTTACACACACCAGTGCTAAGGACAGATATACATGTCTATATCATGCTCTGGATGCATGCACCCCCTCATGAATATGTCAAGGGAGAAGAAAATGCCACATGAAATTTTGCATCAAAGCTAGAAAACTTTCGTGTAAGCCAGTAAACTTTTACTGGGATCAGATGGCTCTAATATAAAGAATGGCAGTTCTAACACATTACAGATAAAGGGAAAATTGTTAGGTGCTAACAGAAAATTCATGCTGGTTATGCCACTGCTGACAAAGATAGATTCAATTTTATCTCACCAAATACCTCCACTAATTGTAGGATCCTGATTAAATTTATTAATGGAAAAAAAAACATCCGTTTAATTAAGTATTTTTATTTAGTGTTCACTAATGTTATTATCTTTCCGTGTAGCTGTTCTGTCCAGTTCATGTTTTGAAAAAAACATAATAATCTTATCCAACACATTTATTGGAAAAGGATTTTCATAGATTCTTTACTACAGAGAAAAAAAATAATGAAATGGGGATCTATTTGCCTAAATCTTTGCTTTAATAGGAATAAATTTAATGAACTCCTAATTTGTACTATTCAGACTAAAGAGTGACAAACCCCCTTCTCACACTTTAGTCTAAGAGAAAGCTTTCTTTTTTTCAGAAACAACCAGCAAGAGAGAGCTAACAACACTTCACACAGAGGGTATGCCATTATCTCTAATTCTTTGACTGAAGTACATAAAATTGACACAAATTTATACTCAGAAAAATAACCTGAGTATTTTAGAAGCTATGAATTCCTTTCTGAGAAAAGACAAGCTTTAGCAAGAGGTCAAAATATGAAAGGAAAAGAAAAAGACTAATAAACAAAAAAAACATATTTGTGCCAAGCTTTTACAAAGGTGCACAGGAAGATTTCAGCCAAATGACTCCTTCTTCTCTGAAGGAATTCAGAAGAGAACCCTGAATCTCATTTAGAAATAATGTAAGAAGAAACACACTAAAAGCAACTTCAAAATATTTTCAGATGGATCCCTTTCTATTTGCATGCACATCTAAGGCCCTGCTTCAATAAGGTTCCTAGCCAAGGTCCTGGGTTTAAACATTTAAATATTGCGTTTAAATGTGCAATTCTTACCTTCATACCTTCACTACAGGCCACATATTTAAGTACCTGCTGAAATGGGAATTTAAAGAATGCTGGTTACTAGCCAATTCCTCTTGTTTAAGTTGAAACTATGATAGAGTCTGAGGGATTTTTTTCTTTTTTATTATACTGTATGTTGTTGAGTAGAATTTAGTATTAGCAGCGAATAAATATTAAGGCAGGATTTTAATACTGTTACCGTAATTATCAATAACTAGGTTTGTATTTGTTATATTTATATCATATAATAACTGAATAAAAACACAACAGTAGTAATATTTAGAAATAAGTTTCATTCTGATGACTCTGATCCTGTTATGTCAAGATCCTGTCTAAGAAGTATCCTAAGTCATGACTCTCTGGAGTAAGAATGCTTTTATTTTTGCAGAATTCCTTCATCATGGGAGTGACAGAACACAGGCTGCAACTGCATCCATGGAAGAAGGTTTGCAACTTACAGTTCAGAAAGCAGTGTTTTCAGCTCCCCAAAGCTGAAATAATAAAATACAAGAATAAGCAACTTGTTTTCTGTCTGCCCTTCTAAAAGGACTGATATAAAATTAGATGTAAAGTTTTGGTGATCAAATGAGAAGGTGCAATTTTTAAATTTGTGCGTGTGATGTGCTTAATAAGTGTTTACAGTAAGTTTCCCAGGGGCTGAGAATGAGTGCTCTACCACAAAACCTATTTTCATCCAAACAGACCTTTTTTTCCCTGGGAACATGGGTTGCAGCAGGTGAGCTGTTTGGCAGAGATGTGCTGTGTGGGTGCCAACCACTGGACCCACTTCCAGGGGCATATTTGTTGTCTTTAAAGAGACATTTAATTATACAAGATCAAGAAGTAACATGAGAAAAAGTTGAGCATGGTTAGTTGCAAATAAGCCAGCGGTTTAGTGGTTTATTTATTGCAATGTAGAGATCCGGGCTGAAGTGCCTCTCACTCTGGTGCCTCTTGAGTGAGTTCCTAAACCAAGAGACCAAGTGGTTCTTCTGACAATCTTCATTTTTTTTTTTTTGCTACAATTAATAGCTATTTTATTCAGGGATGAATGCTTGTAATAATCCATGACTGTGGTATGAGAAAACTATTCTCTTCCTACCTGCATGGAGTGCACTACAATACAAGAGGCCGTGGACAGAAAACATCCAAAGTCCTGGGTGGCTCTGGGAAGACACAACTAGTGAGGGCCAAGTCATATGGTAGTGAAATAGAGAAGGAGACCAGTCTTGGACCATCCATTATCCAATTTAGAGAGGTAGAAATTTGCACTTTTTGAGAACTTGAAAACCTGGTTACAAGTTGTAATGTGCTTTTCTGTGTCTCCCATAGTAAGCCATTGCTCTAAGTGTGAATCTGGAATAATGAAAAACAATATGGAATTATGTTATTCTTGTTTGTGTTTTTTTTTTTTTTCCTCTTCTTTTTTATTGGTTCATGTTTTTCTACCTGCTTCTGAGAGGTTTGGTAATAGAAAACTGAGAACTCCTTAAAGAGTGCACCTGTATTTGCACATTTGTAGCAATCTCTTACTTCCTGAAAAAATGGTTACTTGTGCTCTCTAAAGAGTCATAGTCCATCATAAGGCTCAAAATACTGCCAAGGGATGAAAACCTCTATTAGGAATTTTAGAAAGCTGAAAACAAACCACTTAAAACATACCACAGAAAACATATCTAGTCATACTTTGAAGGAAACATCTGGAGAACCACTAGTTTTGCCCCCATTTAAGCCCAAAGGAGTTTCACCATGGACAGCTGTGGGAACTGCATTAAACTAAATCTAAGTACTACACAGATACCCATTCAAAGGCAAAGACATTCTTCACATAACAACATCCTAACAACACATCAAAAAATGCAGAGATTATTTTTTTGATCATTTGGTAGATATGTTTATAATTTATCAAAATGTAGCTGAGAAACAAAAATCATTTTATCAGGTAAAGAAATAAATTGGAGATTAGGGAAGTATTTGGCCTTGTAGTTGCCCATCCATATTTGACTTTCAATGCAGGCAAACACAAGGTATTCTCGAAAACTGTGGCACACTTCTGTGTGCAACTGTGAGATTTTAGAACTAATCCTCTTCAGTATATTTGTTTGTCAAATGGATTTAATATTGAATTTTCTACTTCAGTCATATTTATGCTGCTTCTTTGTTAGTATAAAGCACATTATTTGAATACAACAATGAGATTATTTTATCAGTATCACTTTGTCTACAACAATCAATGCACCACTGAGAAAAACAGGCAAATCTTTATACATGGAACACCAGGGTCTTCCTGTTTTGCTGAAAAAGCTCTTGTCAGCAGGTTAACTTTTCATAAGTGTCTGTGCTGGCAACTTTTTTTCTGAGTTCACATTTTCTGTCTTCAGCAGTGATTTCTTTTGAGCCCAATGAGATGGTCCTGGGGACTTCCAAAGCCAGAGGTAAGAGTCTGATTATACTTTTGTTGATGAATCAGGCACTCTTACTCCAGGTGAAAAAGGATTTTGGCTTATGAAGTTCCGTGGTGTCACAGTCAAAGATCTGCAGCACAGGATATTTGGATAATACCTCTAGTTCTTCTGCTGATTTACAGAAGTCAGTAAATCACTTCATTTCTCCTAATTACTCTCTTTATAAAACAAGGCTAACAGTGATGTTTTGTTGAGCTTTATGATGTTTTCAGTAAAAGTCACTTCAGAAATGCACTGCAGAAGTACATCAGGTAGTTCGCTACCACGATGCCTCTGTTTTTTTGTACAGCTATCACAAGGGACCACAGGGGTACAACTCCCGCTTCCCCAGTCCTTTCGATAAAAGGTCAGTGATTCTCAGCTTTGCTTTTTTGACTGACATAGCAATACTTCATCTGAAAGCATCACAGTTAAAAATCCATGCATGGTAATGAAAGGGCTGCCAGAGAATCAAATTTAGATCAAGGTCAGATAGCAGATGCACAAACAATAAAACCAGACAGAGAAGTATTAGCTGTTCGTTGCCTCCAGCCACTCATTTGCACTCCTCATCCAAGCATTTCTGAAAACCTCTTCACATAAGGTTTTATGATATAATGGTTGGTCCTTTAAATTATATTCATAACATCTGCTGCCAGAAGGGTTCATTTTGATTTTCCCTCCTCCTATTTCAGCTTTTGCAGTTGTTACTGATTTGAGAACAGCCACACCATTAGCTACAGATAGAAGTGGAGCACCTTGGTAGACTTGGAAGATTTCAGTGGCCCCTTTTTCATAGAAAGGATCATTCAGGAAGACTGAAATGCACCAGAAAAAATGTCAAGGAACACTGAATATGGAGAGTAGAACTTAGTAATTTTTTAACTCTGTTTAATTGTCTGAACAGTACCCATGTCTCCCAGCCCAGTACAGAAATTTAGTATTGCTGTACTAAGCATTGGTCGAAATCACTAAATATTCTTCTCTGTTAACTTGAATGTATCAGAAAATCTGTGTGTTGTGTTGAAGATCTGCATGGCTCCCTGAAGATAATTTCTAATATCTATTCTTAGCTAAGTGCAGAATTTTCCAAATTAATTTTATTTTCTACATCTAGCAAGAGTCACTTTCATTTGAACACAACACTGTCAAATAAACTGGCATAAAATGTGCACCTTGCTGAGGTATTAAGACCAGCGTGTTGCTATTGATCCCTTTTTGCAACCTTTCATGGGCTTTCTTGTGTTCTTAGCACTACTTTCATTTTTTAAATCTATACACTTATCCCATGACAGGTTATTTTCAATACATGCTAAAACAAAAACATCAGAAGAAAAAATTTAATGAATCTGAGTTTAATCCAATTAATAAATTCAGTCAAGGACTGCAAAAGGAAAGGCTTTACAAATGTGGAAACACATGTTCACTAGTATTTTCAAAGTATTTTTTTTTTGTGAAATGCCACATTCTTCATATTCACATTTTTAAAAATCCATTTGTTTTCCATTTAAGTGTTTTCATTTACATGTTAGCTTATATAAAAATGGTTAAAAAAGAAAGAAAAAAGATTTTAAGTAATCTCCAAATTAGACAAAACATTCCTCCTCAGCAATAAAGCTTCAGGTAATCTGAAAATAAATATCAATTTAATTTTTAGGATAAAGAATCTCTGTAAAATTATATTTCTATTCAACTTCATCTTATTTTCCCCTTGATATTTCTTTGTGGTTACAACATAGTAAATCTCTCAGTTGCCCAGCTCTGCATCAAATAATTTTCTGCCCTCCGTAATGTTACTCTTAGTTTTGGTACCCTCATGTGAACTGACACTTCTTTTAAGCAAGTTACTCAGAAAATGACATTTCACGACATCTCACCTGCACTTCATCTCTCAGTATGGCTGACTAACCACCAACCTATATTATTTTCAGCAACTGCCACACCTCTTTACCTCAGTAGGCAACATATAAAATTAAAAAAAATAATCAGCAGTTATACTGATCATATTTAACCAGTGTCTTTTCTTCTGAAAGGCAAGATCTGTAAAGAAATGACCAGTGTGGATACTCTTTGCTTTTACAATTTTCATGTTGCATGTTTTTCCTGTATCACCATTAACTCACACCAGTTCTGCCCGAGGATGTTACTCTGACCGGCTATCTAAAATTAAAAACTTACTGTTTATTTTCCACGTCTTCTGCTTTCCTCTTTATGCTTATTCAGAAGAGGATGGATTTGTGGAAGCTGTGGTCCCAATGGAAGAGATAATCACCTCCCCAGCCTCATTCCCAGGAGATATTAACTCAATCCAAGTCAAAGTTGTCCCCACTGAGAAGGATCCTGCTGGCATATCTGCAAGCACAAAAGAAAAAGGCAAGTAAAGACTGAATTACATCTATTCTAATTTAAAGCACTCCCCCTGTGCTATAAATTCAAGATTCAGTATTTCTCCTAGATATGTGGAATAACACTATTTTGTCCCTAAATCTAGTTAAGTTACATAGAATATGGGGTGACTGGAAAGGGCAGTTTTCTGTCAAGAACTGATTAGGAAAGCTTAACTAACCGTTAATGAACAGTCATCCAGCTATGAATTAAACAAAACTTAGAAGACTGACAATTTATTATGGTTCAGAATATTCAGTTTTGGACACATTACTGAGAATTTACTCTACCTTTGCAAGTCTAACATGTGCACATGTCATCTCCAGAGACAAGCCGTGCAAGGGGTGGCCTGAGCACAGCTTCCTCTGGCATAGCTCTGGAACTGGTACTGTCTGACAGGGGACCCAATGAACCTGCAGGAAAAGGTAAATTAAGTTTGGGGTATTTTTTTTGGTTTTTTTTTTTTTTGTTTTTTTTTTTCCCCAGTTATATCTAATGATATACTCAGCTACCTCTATCTTAAAAAAATAGGCATATATTACATATAAAGATTATAGTTATTCTAAACCAGTTATACAAGCACATATATATTGCTATTTACAAGAACAGGAGATGCAGTCATCTGTAAAATCTTCCAACAGTTTAACCTCTTCTCCCAATGTTCTATCATTAATACCTGCAAACTTATTTATTATTAGATTATAAGTGCATTTTTTCATACAGTACAAGGTCTAAAATGAGATCAGTGAATGTTTCCCCTTGGTTTTAGTCAGTAATTTAATCACATCTTTGAGTTACTTTATTTTAGAAGCAGCAGAAGTAATAAAAGGAACTTGCCCTGCTCCTCACCCTGACCTCTTGCAAGATTCAGCCTTTTTCTCACCATTTCTGATTTTGCTCCAACTCCTACTCAGTTAGCATAGATCCCAAGACATTTCAGACCTGTCACTGCTGTAAATCCACACTCATTGACTGTCCCATCCATCTTGTTAGGTTTCCCAATGGGGAAAAGCAGTCCCAGAACTGGAAAAGAGCAGACATGAAGAATCAACCCAGCCTTCTATCAAATTGGAAAATTTGATTGTAAAATACCAGATTTTAAGAGTGTGCATGTTAGTGCATGAACCTGGGGTTCGTTCTTGAATTAACATGAGTGAGCAAAGACCCAAGCAGGAACATGGGCAGAATTTCCTACTGGGGGAAGTAAGCCAGGTTTGTCCCTGAAAGAAGCAGAGAGAGTCAGTCTAGAGCTGCAGAAGGAAAGATGAGATTACTCATGGGAGAAAGGAGGATGCACAGGGAACAGAAGCCCTCTCTCTCTCTCCTCCAATCCAACCATTAGCCCCTTCAAATCCTTCCTCTGGCAAAGTCCCAAAAGAGGCCCCCTTGGCATCTTTTTTCCTGGTATGGAACACAGTCTGCTCTCAAATCCTAGGGATAATTCACACCATATCAATTTTTCCTGAGTGGGGGAAGCCACAGAGGCATTAGAGTCGGGACATGGAGATGCCAAAACATTGGCAGCACAGTAACTGTCATGATGTTCTTGCATTTGGGCTATGGCATCATTGATTAAATTGAACTATATTTCAAATGAAAAAAAAAGGAGTTATTGTTTCCTCCACCACAACATAGTCATCGCTCAGCTATCACTGTGCAATCACAAGAGATTAGGACTCTATTTTCTGAATTAGGCAAGACAGAAGCTACTGAATACTCAACTAGGTTTGAATATTCTCAAAGAAAAATTAAACTATGAAGGATTACAAAGGATTGCAAAGTACTCTCATTGCAATCCAATTTGATTTATAATTTATATCTTCATAGGAATCTCTCTCTCCTTTAAATATTCCCCCCCTACTTCTGCCGTCTTTCTCAGTAGTGTTCTAAGACCCTTAATTCATGGACTGGAGCAATAATATAGAAATAGTAATATGTTGTCTTCAAAAGTTTCTGATAGCTCTGAAAATACTTCTATCGTCACAAGAGATGCCCCAACCAGTGAAAACATCATGTGTCAAATAACATTTTTTGCTTTACAGTATGTGAGCGATTAACTTTTCTGCAAGACAGAGGAAATGGAAGAGTGAAGAAGGAGCTGCCCCAACTAGGAGAAATGCTGTTCTGTTTAACTGAGCGATGCCCAGAGGAATTTGAGTCTTACGGTTGCTACTGTGGACAAGAAGGAAGAGGTTATCCTACTGATGCACTGGACAGGTGTGGGCTCTTCTACAATGTGCCATTAACTGTGGGTATTATTGGCGTGGTTATGGACCAACAAAGATCAATCACTAAACCTTTTGTTGGGCCTTGTTTACCTACATATCAGTAGTCAAGCCACATTAAAAAAAAAAAAAAATAAAATAAATACACTTAAATACATAAACCATGCAATACTCTAACATCACTAGAGTAATGTCACTAGAATGTCCAAGGCACATTCTATTATTGCATCCATGTTTTAGACAGTAGTTACTAAGTCAATTAATATAAGACAGAATGATGGGAGGAAGTAGAACAGAAGAAGAGTATATCAAAAGAGATGAGGAAAAGGGTTGCCATGAAGTTTTCCTAAGGGTTGGTCTGGAAAGTGATTTATGAAGAGAAGAGTTAACATAGACCCGTGTCACAGTGTCCTTCAGGAAAGAGTAGAGCTCAAGTGAAGTATTGCCTGAGCTGCAGTGAGGAGAGCTGCCATGGCGGACTGCGTGCTGTCACAGCATAGCTGACAAAGAGGAGAAATTCTAGAGTAAGGAAGAGAATTCAACCAAAGTAAAGAAATATCCTCTGAGAGCGTTGCATATACAACTAAAAATCTCTCCCTGTGTGGAAGTTCATAACAGTTGGGGCCACATCAGGTCTAAGTATCACACTTAGTATCCAGTACGCACAATTTTTCTATACCTGCACAAAAATAAGATTGCCTGTGCATGGCAAAGTAGATTCAATGAAGTCTGGTCAAGGCTCTGGCTATCATGATGCAGTTTTCAGATTTTCAGCCAACAATATTTGAACTCTTGAAGACACTTCTCACAGTGGATTAGGTCACAGTTATAATTGCAATTATATATCTTAAAATTAAAACAACCCCTCCTAAAAAAACTACAGGAGTGTTAAACATATTATATCAAAGGATTTAGGAAGTAAGTAGTAAAAGTACAAAGAGGTATAGGACGAGAGTAGGAACAGTTTAGGTTGTTTTCACTCTTCTTTATGGAGAAGATTTTTTTCATGATATGAAAACTAAAATGTCTTAGTTTTAATGGGCATTGAAAATAGAGATAAAACAACTGTGAGTACTCTGTGATGCAGAAAGAGTAAGCATATTACATTTACATCTACTGTTCTTTTCAGATGCTGCTTCTCTCATCACTGTTGTATTGAACAAGTTAAGAAACTTGGATGTCATGTGGAAAAAAATTCAAGATCTGAAGTTGTATGTCTTGATCATAAGCCAAAATGTAAGTTTGGGTGAGAGGAAATTTCTCATGTCCTGATAACAGTGTATCAAAACATTACAGACTGGATGCTACCATGCCTTTGAGCTGTTAGAGCTGAGTATGGAGACAGAAAAATTTGGCTTACGAAATGTTAGCAATGTTTACTATAAACCTGAGCTTTTTACCTAGTTGAGATAGAGGTTATTACACCACTGTGTATGATGTGATCAGGTCAAGCTGAGAAAATTACATTCAGGCATTTTATGATTGGAGACAGAAGTCAGCTGTTGGTGTCTTTACATTCATACATTCACCTAAAGCCAGTTGGACCTTCAGCTGCCCCACACCTTGGTGTCAGGCTTATATTTAGATGATTAAAGGTGAATTTAGACTGAAATTTGAGGCAGATTTAAAAATTGTATTTTCAAAAGTTCATCTACCCATAGCAAATCACACATTGACTAATTGTAACTGCTTTCAAACATTAATTCTGAAACGTCTTTTTAAGGTATTGGTTGGAGCATGTGTGAGAAACTACTATGTGCATGTGATAAGACAGCAGCCGAGTGCATGGCTTCTGCCTTCTTCAATGAAAGCCTTAAATTTCCACATGGGCAAGAGTGCCAGGAGGAGAAAATCTTATGCCAAGGAGACCCTTATGAAAGGCCTTCAATCGGCACAGAAGCAGGCACCAGGATTTCTAGCTCTGAGGAGAGCAGTGAGGAGGAAGGTCCACTGTGGAGTGTATTAAGGAGAGCAAAGAGAGAGGCACACCATCTCGTTGGAAACTCCAGAACTGTGCAACATGAAGGCAGATAACCAACCACCACCACACGCTTGAGAAACAGCATGGGGGCTTTCACAGTCAGCCATTGCATACCTTACTCTTTCTTATCACTCTACATTCTACCTTATACTTTCCAGCACACAAATGACATAATAATAGACTAGGTATTAAATGTTAGGCTGTAAAACTCCTTACCGTAGTGAAATCAGCACTATGGACCATCTATCTAGGTCAGATATTACCTTAAATAATTGTTTGACAGTATTCTGTATAATTTCATTCTATTTCTACGTAAAAACGGTTCTGATCAAAGACTGATTTTTATTAGTTGTGTAGCTGGTTCAGACTGGATCTTGCTGATGATGGCTAAGTATTTCAGGTTTTTAATTAAACCAATCTGCAACTACTCCAACTCTTTTTGCAGACATTGTTCCTTTACTGAGTTTAGCACAAAACATCCAAAAGAAAAGCTAAGGTAATTACATGAAAATGAGTTCTTTCTTCCCTTCCTATCTAATAACAATTTTCAGCCTGCAGTTTCTGCTGGTCAGTCAGATAATGACAGTAAAAGGCACATTCCTTGCCCCAAATCTGTGATTATCTCCAGTTTTGTTTTATGCATGGTAATCTCCAGTTTTGAGAAACTTTGGGATGCTAAAGGGAATAAATGTAAAGGTTCTTCTTCCTGGAATCAACAAAAGCTAATGTACTCAGAAGTATGCAATGTAAAGCTGGGATAACACTTTCTGATTTTTACTGAACCCAAGTTTTTTTGCTTTCATCTTTTTTCCAAATTTACCACTCATAATGTTCACCATTTGTCAGACAACAGCAGAATAAAGGATATGTACATCCTTTTATTTGATATGATGCTAATTTAGATTATGCTTTGGTCATAAAATATTACCACAGAAATAAAATTGATGAAACATGACTACTAATAACAAAGCTAAACAGCAAAAAAAAAAAAAAAAAAAACAAAAACAAAAACAAAAAAACGAACAAAACCAAAAAAAACAGCTATGGTCAAAATCACCAGCAAATCATTATTTTGATATGAAAGATGCACACGAAGGTATAACCTTAATGTCTTTCCCATTAGATTTCAGTTGCATAGCAAACAACAGTGCAAATACACAGCTTAAACCCAGAAGGTGACCTGCCTGAAATGGCATATAACATTTTATTCAATGGGATTACTGATATTTCCATACTTCCGCTAAGCATGTATTTGCAAAATCAAACCCATACTAATAAGAGACTTCCCCTGTAAGCACATCTAATTGTAAAAATGAAGGTTTGACTTCTTGATCAAAAGCAATCATATCATTTTAACTTGATTGACTACTCCTCTGTTGACCTGCCATAACTGACTTTGTGCTGTGTTTGCATCACTCATGAGATCTTTTAAAGGTTAGATTGGTGATTCCCGCTCTTACTCAGTCAAATCATATTGGTGTTCATCTTATTCTCTTCAACTGCATCCTTGATCCCTAGTGCATATTTCAGTCCCTTGGACACTGTAAGAGCACCTCACTCGCACAAGCAGCATCCCCAGTGCTGAGTACCAGGAGAAACAAAGACCAACAACCCCTCCCACCACCACCCTTGAGGTCAGAGTTTGGGTTCAGTTCTGAACTATGTCTCAGCACAACTTCCCAGGCATCTCAGAAACTAGAACCAGAAATCAAAACAAGGTAGTTTTACCTCCCACTTTAAGTGTCTTCAGATGTTAACCATGACAGACTGCAAAAGCTCAGGCACCACATTACCTGAGATGCTTGGATTCTGAGTTCTACAATTCTAAGCCTGCAAACTTATACTAGGATGAAAAAACCCCAACACTGGTGTCAAAGTTTACCTACTTTGCATACTGTTCTTCATAAGTTCAGCTTCAAGTGATGTGCCAATGATTCAGGTTTGCTTGTATGATCCTGAACATCCAGAAAAAAATTAATAATTGATTTGAGGATCAAGTCATACCTGTCTCACTTTGTCTGGGAACTAGAAAGGTCTCTAAGAATCCTCATACATAATGCTTCAGTTTGCTTAACAAAGGCATACTTTTATTTGTTACTATTAACACACAAAAAAAATATGAAAAAGCAATATAATAATTTTACAGAATATTTTTGTAAAAATTACTCAAAATTTCCCTCACTTTTTAACTCTCTCTTGGAAAGAAATATTTAAATGCTGTGTAGCTGAAGGTAGCAGTCAGTCTCTGAGGTGAGTTGCTCTGGAGCTGGCCTGGCCTGCAGTAGAGTGGTGGATCTCGCCGCACAGTGAGGTCCATGAGTCAAGGAAATGCCAGGGCCACAGAGAGACCCACCAGGAGCCGCCAGCTCTGGTGAGAGATGACCTGGGTGCCTGAAGTCCCCCAGCAGGACAAGAGCCTGTGAGGATGATGCCTCCTGTAGCTGGAGTAAAAAAGCTTTGTCAATAAGCTCCCCTTGATCTTGCATTGGTGACCATCACGTCCAGTATCGCATCCCCTCCTGTAGGGCTGTCTACTACCTGTCTTAAGAAGTTATCCTCAATGCATCCCAGGACTCTACTGGGTTGGCTACAGCTCACTGTGCTACTTTTCCAGCAGATGTTGGGGTGGCTGAAGTCCCCCAGCAGGATGAGAGCCTGTGAACATGATGCTTCATGCCTGTGTGCACGATCCCCTTGATCGGGCGGCCTGTAGTAGACACCAACCACAAGGTTCCCTTTGTTGCCTTGGTGTCTGGTTCCTACCCATAAGCTTTCAAACTGTTCTTCAGAGACGGCTCTTCATGGCTGCAGGTTTTCGTGTGAGTTTTGTCTGGGCTGCCACATCAGCTCTGGTGAGTGCAGAGGACGTGGCTTTCTGCCAGGTGGATAACACAGCTAAGCTCCTTCTGGGAGGGTGATGACCACTGACTGAACTGACCTTCTGAGCTGGTAGGTTGATGATGCCCTTCCTGCACACCCTTCTATGCAAACTGCTGCACTGGTTGATGGGCCATGCACTGCGTGCCCGCTCTGTTGGCAGCGCTCCTAGCTGCTTGAGCTACCCAGAATGCTTTTTATAGGTGTGGGAGTGGCTGGGGCTGCCCTGGCAATATCAGGGCCTCATCAGCATCTCTTGCAACAGCTGCCAGCTCCTGGTGGGTGTATCTGCTGCCCTAGCATTTCACCACCTCAGGAAACCCCCGTCTGCCAAGATCTGCTGCTCTGCTGCAGACCAGGCTAGCTCTCTAAATTGGAGATAAACTGATTTAGCGGGTGGACTGTTCAGTGGATGAGGAATTAGTTGGATGGTGGCATCTAGAGGGTAGTGGTCAACGGCTTAATGTCCAGATGGAGATCAGTGAAGAGTGATTTCCCTCAGGGCTCTGTACTGGGACCAGTACTGTCTAATGCATGCATCAGTGACACAGACAGTGGAATTGATTGCACCCTCAGCAAATTTTGATGACACCAACCTGAGTGGTGTGGTTGACACACCTGGGGGACAGAGGATGCCATCCAGAGGGACCTGAACAAGAAGCAGGTGCATGTGAGCCTCATGAGGTTCAACAAGGCCAAGTGTAGGGTCTCGCACATGGCTCGGGGCAACCCCCGGTATCAATACAGACTGGGAGATGAAGGGATTGAGATCAGCCCTGCAGAGAGGGACTTGGGGGATAGTGGTGGGTGAAAAGCTGGACATGAGCCAGCAATGTACACTTGCAGCACAGAAAGCCAACTGTCTCCTGGGCTGCATCAAGAGAAGTGTGGCCAGCAGGTTGAGGGAGGGGATTCTCCTGCTCTGCTCTGGTGAGACCCTACCTGGAGTCCTGTGTCCAGCTCTGGGGTCCTCAGCACAGGAAAGATATGGACCTGTTGGAGCAGGTCCAGAGGAGGCCACAAAAACTATCAGAGGAATGGAACACCTCCCCTATGAGGACAGGCTGAGAGAGTTGGGGCTGCTGAGCCTGGAAAGGGGTCAGGGGAGACGTCATATGGCTTTCCAGTACCTAAAGAGGACTTATAAGAAAGTTGGGGATAGACTTTTTAATAGGACCTGTAGTGATAGGACAAGGAGTAATGGTTTTAAACTAAAAGATGGTAGATATAAGGAAGAAATTTTTTACTGTGAAGGTGGTGAGGCACTGGAACGGGTTGCCCAAAGAGGCTGTAGATGCCCCCTCCCTGTAAATGTTCAAGGCCAGGCTGGATGGGGCTTTGAGCAACCTGACGTAGTTGAAGATGTCCCTGCTCATTGCAGGGGGGTTGGACTAGATGAGCGTTAAAGGTCCCTTCCAGCCCAAACAGTGCTGATTCACTAACATGTCTTAGAACAAAATGCGTTGCCACAAACTTCCTAGTGGTGCACCTGCTGAAGTGAAAGGTCTCTACAGGGTTGAATTTTGTCACCAAAGTATACCTTACAAATCAATGACTGTATCCTAATGCTAGATACAGAAATGTTACTTGTGTTCTTCCAGATCATGGAGCAGTTAACTAAAACATATCATTATCTCCTTGTGCAAAGTGAACGTCGTGAGAACAACAGGTAGAAATGCCAGTGAACATTCTTGGATGAGTGGTTAATATTCTATAAACCTCTGGCTGGTGCTACTCCACCTTCAGTATTTTTCCTGCATTAAAACTTAAAGGGATTAAAACAGTGCAGAAAAAAAAAAAAAAAAAAAAAACCAACAAAACAAAAAACCCCAAAAAACACACCACCAAAAGACATCAAATCAAAAACAAACCCAGAAGGTATTTCAGTCCCATGAATCCCACTGCCTACAGTGGTTACACCACTAGCACTAGAAAAAAAAAAAATACAGGCGATCATGAAGACTCTCTTTAAGGGAAGGTTGAGAGGAGAGCTAAGTGATGTGAGACATTCTATCTGCAGACAAGATTTTAATTAACTTTGATTCCACCCCCTTCCCCCCTCTCCATTATTCTGTATAGAAAGAGGGCATTTCAGTACTCAAGCAAAATGCTACAAATCTGCAAAATGCCCGTTTTTGTCCAGTGCTGAGGATGAGATCTGCAGTACTCTGATATGTTTACTTGTTTCAGAACTGAAACTTTTAT